CAGTCAGTGGTTCCTCAAAAAATTAAAAATTGAATTACTATATGATCCATCAATTCCAATTCTGTGTGTATACCCTAAAGAATTGAAAGCAGGGTCTCTACGAGATGTTTATACACCCTTGTTTATACCAGCATTATTCACAATAGCTAAAAGGTAGATGCACCCCAGGTGTCCATCAACCAATGAATGCATAAGCAAAATATGGTATGTGTACATACAATGGAATATTATTCAGCTTTGAAAAGGAAGGAAATTCTTTTTTAAAATTGAAGTATAATTGACTTACAACACTATGTTAGTTCCAGGTGCACAGCACAGTCATTTGATATTTCTGTACATTACAAAATAATCACCCCCACTGTAAGTGTAGTTGCAATTTGTCACCATAGAAAGTTACTACAATTTTATTGACTATATTGTATTCCCCCATGCTGTACATTTCATCCCTGTGACTCATTTATTTTGTAAATGGAAGTTTGTGCCTCTTAATACTCCTCGCCTATTTCACTCGTCCCCTCACCCCTCTCCCTTCTGACAGCCACCTTTTTGTTCTTTGTATCTGTGAATCTGTTTCTGTTTTATGTTTATTTGTTTTGCTTTTTCAGATTCCACATATAAGTGCAATCATATGGTATTTGTCTTTTTCTGTTTGACTTACTTCACTTAACATTATACCCTCTAGGTCCATCCATGTTGTTGCAAATGGCAAGATTTGTTCTTTTTTATGGCTTTGTATATGTACCACATCTTATTTATCCATTCATTTATTGATGGGCACTTAGGTTGCTTCCATATCTTGGCTATTGTAGATGGTGCTGCAGTGAACATAGGGGTGATTACATCTTTCTGAATTAGTATTTTCGGTTTTTTAGAAACATACCCAGAAGTGGAATTGCTGGATCATGTGGTAGTTCTGTTTTTAATTTTTTGAGGAACTTCCATATTCTTTTAAAAAGGAAGTAAAATCTAACATGCTGCAACATGGATGAACCTTGAGGATATTATGCTATGTAAAATAAGCCAGTCACACACACACACAAAAGACAAATACCATATGATTCAACTTATATGAAGTATTTAGAATAGTCAAAATCATAGAGAGAGCAAGTAGAATGGTGTTTTCCAGGGGCTGGAGAGAAGGGAGAATGAGGAGTTACCATTTAATGGGTATAGGTTTCAGTTTTATAAGATAAAACGAGTTCTGGAGATGGACAATTGTGATGGTTGCATGACATTATGAATGTATTTAATACTACTGAACTGTACACTTAAAATGGTTAAGTTTGTAAATTTTATGTTATGTTTAAAATTGTAATTAAATAATGAGATTACTGATACTTGAAAATTTTTGTCAGTATTTTCTACCTTTTATAGTGCAAGTTTCTTTTATATTGTAGAATATACAGTGAGAATTTCCTTTTCAAATGTAAAAGTCTTTTTACAGTGGGTAATTTCTTGAGTAAAAAAAGTGTTTAAGAAAAAGAAGCTTCAAGTGTTCTTCAAAAGGAAATGTCAAGAGGGAAATTGTGTAAGAATTTTTATTTTAAGCTGATGTGAATTTTAATAAATTAAAACGTTTGATTTAAATTTTGTGGAAAGACCATTTTATTAGTATTTTGTCAAAAAGAAATAGTGACTTGTAGCCTTTATACTGAACCAACTGGTATTGTAAAAACAAGTCCCGGAAATAAAGCAAATACAGTTGCTCCCACTTCACAGTCTCCTGTGAGGACTTTCATAAATAACATGTGGTAGCTATCCTACTGGACCTCTGGGTGCCGCTGTTGGCCAATCCGTGGCTTAGAGTGAAACAAAGGAACCTACTGGCGGTTCTGATGCAGCGATGTATGCACACTTTTGAGAAACACACCAGGAACCGACTCTGCACGCCATCTCTCCCGCGATCTGCTCCTAATATCTGGGTCAGGAAGGTCTGAGAGAGCTGCTGCCTTTTCTTTCCAGCGCACCTTGGTAATCCGAGGAGCAACTGTAGCGAGGTGCATTCGGTCCTACGAAGCAGCATCGTGAAGAGAGAGAAGTCTCCCCACAGGGAAGACGCGGGAGTGCAGGAAGCGCTCTTTCCTTTTCTGATGTCTTTGTTCAGCCTAGTAAACTGCGCAGCAGTTACGCTGAGAGATTCCGGAAGAGATAGCCGAGGATTTAAAAGTGGGGAATCTCGCCAAAGATCTACGTGTTGGTGACAAGAACCATGGGTGAGTGCTGAGAAGCCTCTCTTTACCGCCAGTAAAGAGAGCAGGAAGGAACAAATGACAGGATAGATCTAGCCAATAGGACAAAGGAAGTCCCTAGGCCCCTTGAATATGAAACCTTCACTGGAAATCCTATAAATGTTTTTTATATAAAGTATTTATCCTGGATATAAATAACATATGGCTTTGAGCACAGCCATTTTGTTTTGAAAATTCTAGAAAACATCTTAATAGGAGCAAAGTTTACTCCTAAACTGCAGTAGATATGGATGGTGCAAGTAATTCTCTACAAGTTTATCAAATTAATTTCAGTTAACCATCTCCCTCACTGCCCAAAGTAAAAGAGAACACTAGGGCAGTAAATACTCTCGTTATTTATTGGAGAAATCTGCACCAGAGTAGCAGAGCTGCCACCACTTAGTGGTGGGGAGGAGTCTCAGGGCAAGATGCAGGTCTTGGATGCCAAAGCCAGTCCTCCCATGCTGAGCTACAAAGTATACAGCAGAATCTGCCTGCCAGAGAACCTCCTTGTCTGCATTCTTCAGGTGATCCCTGCTGACCTAGATGACACCCTTAAGGTAGAGTTCTACACTTTCCACACGGTCTCACAGGGCATACACAGTATATTCAATAACGACAGCACCATCTTTGATTTTGAAGAGTGACTGTTATATCACAGCTTAGAAGAGAAGACTGGAGACAGTTAAAGGCGCTTTTCACAATCCTGGTTGAAATGCAGGTTGAGAACTATGATGCAGTGCAGGTGATTTTCAGCTGAGTGTTTAGTCCTATTAGATGTAAGAACTGTGGTTGCTCTAATCAAAACAACAGGACTCAGAGATTTCTTGAAGGGAAAAGTGAAAGATATTGTAGAGAGTAATAAACACATAGCCAAACAATTCACAACAAAGAATTACTATGTAATTCTTTGTAAGCTACTGACAGAAAGGATTCTAAACTGGGAGCAGATTCGGAATCATGAGGTAACAAAGACAAGCTGTCCCTCTCCTCCAGTGTAAGCATTAGCCTGCATATAACCAACATCAACAAAAATGCTCTAATTTTCCAACAGGTCTACTGTATGGTCCAGGAGTTTGGGAATGGGAGGCTCACCCAGAGCCTCCATTGCACACTTTAGCACTTCCAACTGAAACTTGGTGCCCTAAGTGCCTCCTATTTTTCCTGACCAGTGACCTGGGTGCTGTTGTCTGACGTGTCAGTGAGTGCAGAGCACAGTGGTGTTCACTGCAGCCTACCTTTGAGCTGACTCTGTGGCCTGCGACCAGTGCTCTGTGTCAGCCTGAGCCTGCCTGTAATGGTGTACTACCACTGCAAAAACTCACAGAAGACGTGCTATGCTGGGAGTTGCACCTGGAAGTCACATGCCTCTTCAATGGGGCATCACACCCAGCAGCTCGACTACCTGGTCGCCAAGGTGGACGCTGACTGGGACGCAACACCTGACTGTCCTATCAGGTGTCCTAATCTTACTCTTCAACCTGACCTGAGGATGCACAAGAGCAAGATGCCCACTGGGGCACTGCAGATGACAGAGACACTGTTCTCTGGGGCTTGCTGGTCACCATGCTCAATGACAACATTCGTCATGCTGCAGCTAGTCTTTGCAGGAGTTGTGGACAGACCTCAGCGACCACCCAGCACCTACTGCCAGAGCTACAGCTTTACCTGGTCATGGCCTTTTCACCTTGATCTCCATGTTCTTCTTCCTAGCAGTGACTCTGACCATAGCCTGGTGCCTGCAGTGTTCCTCCAGCCCTGCAATTCAGCCTGGTCCAAGGCTGGACGTGGAGTTGCTCCCACTTCAGCAAGAGAGATTTGCCCTATTCCTACAGTCAGTATGTGACTTCAGATATTGCAAAGTCTTAATTTCTTCAAATTAACTCAGAAACATCTTCAACTAGATAGTTTCTGTAGTACCAGCAGTGAAGCCTTAACTATTACATTGGATTCAAATGTATTCATGTGAGTTTTAACACTTTTATTTCATAAATATCATCCTGCTGTAAGCAATCCTGCTTATTTTTTGTTGTCTTTAGTTTTTTTCATCCTCCAGTCAAAGGGCATTTGCTCTTCTATATGGCCTGTGAAATTATCCAGTGATCAAGATGTACTACAGAAGAAGTGGAGGGATGATTTGTCCCCTTTGTGATACTTCCTGACTAGCAAACGGAAAGCAGATAGCTTGGGAATACTACTGGCATATCCAAGATAGCTTGGATTCTACTGTATGTTACAATTAAGCAATATGTAGATGTAACTAATTAAATGAACATAGCAATTTCTCCTTTTCATAGTTATAATGTATAATGCTTAACTATTTCCTTGACAATAAACTAAGACTTGAGGAAAGGTTGATCAGGTTAATGAGAAGAGAAAGTTCAGGTATTATCTAGGAGTGCAGTAACTGGTTAGGACTCTGGGTGCCGCTGTTCACCAGTCTGGGAGATAAAGGCAGCTCGCGCGCGCGCACACACACACACACACACACACACACACACACACAC